GTTCGTAGTCCGTAGTCTCCGTATCTTAAACTCCCTATTTTTGCTAACCCGGTTTTCAAAAATCCAGGTATGATATATATTTGTTATTCATTCAAAATATTTCCCCAATTCTGATTGGCTAAAAGCACAGTCATAATTCACCATAACCGGTTACTGATGACCAAATTTGGAAGAATTTTGTGTTTAACGAGGAAATGACGTCAAAAATGCAGCCTTCTACCAGGGCGCCCTGCCTCTACAGGTTAATGCACCGTTAACGTAGAAGACTTGGGGACGAGATTGAGTTGTTTTCGTTGTAAAAACTAAAATGGCGGACACTTCACTCGTTTCAAGAAGAACTACAGCTGGAACTGGGCGAAATAATGGCTAAAAACATAGCAAAACAGCAACAAGACAACTCGGAGGGGGACATCTGCTATTTGGAGAATATTTGCGGAGCTGGACAAACCTAAACGTAAACTATCAAAGATAAACTTAACATCGATGCAGGTAAGCTTGTTTTAGCTATTTTTTTAAACTAGGAGTTATTTTGAATGAATAATAAAACGATTATTGAATTCGGCTTTCGTATCATATGAAGAATTATGGAGATATCGGGGGGTGTTATCCGCCTCGGCCGATAACACCCTCCTCGATCTCCGTAATTCTTCATAAGATACTCAGCCTCATTCATTAATTGTTAAATATTTTTTTCTTTCCAGGGCCCTCATTGATAGCAGCATTTCATACTGAAGAGATAACCCTGGCTAAATAACATTTCTTATTTACAATTATTATTTTGCCCATGTAAATGGTAAAAACCCACCTCTAGAGGTGGATAGCTTTGACTGGAAAAATTCTATTTGAGCCAGGAAGTGTCATTTACATTTGGACTGAAATTTCCGGAAATTTTGGCATAATGATAGCACCCTTTGTTTACACACCGTCACTATAACATTAATTTATTTACACATTCAAGCTTCCTTTTATTTTGAATTGTACGTTAGATAAACAGTCATGAATTGCTGTTTAAGTTCAACTAGTGAACTGACAACTCATGCTATTTTTATGATGCAAAATGCTGTTCGAACATTTTCAAAGTTTCCGGCACAAAGTATTACCCCGAGCCTTTCGAACAAAATATGCAGATTTCTGTCACTTATATTACTACATATCTTGAATTTGCATAGCTGAGGCGTCTCTAGCAGGACTTAAAAGTTCACTAGAGTTTATTACTTTATGCAGTGGAAAGTTTTTTCCGACATGAGAGAAGTACGAAGATTATTCAAAACTTGAACAAAGGTGGTAGATTCTCGCAGCAATCAAGTGTCGAGAGCAGAGAGCGAATTCCTCTAAACTAAACAAAGCCCATTCCGGTTTGATGCGTCTTGCAGGAATCGACTGTTGAGACATAACAATCGAGAATACAGTCTCGATTCTCGATTCGATTCTCGCGAGGATCGTGATTGAGTGTCAACTTTCTTTGAACGGTACTGCAGTACAAATGACTTGCCGTTTCAGACTAGGCCGCCGAATGCCAAACTAAAGGGTCAGCAACTACAGGGTGCTCGACGGCCGATCGGCGTTCGACAGTTGCAGAACAGTGATCAAATTCATAGCAACGAAAAAAACAAGGTACATGTATTAACTGCTTACTTTGAGTTCGTAACCGTTCGGTTATCACGATAACAGAGAAAATCTAGATAAAGCTAAGTGTTTTCCGATGGGCTTTGGCTTACCTACACTTACGACAGCTACCATGCTGCTACGTAGTTAAAAAATTGTGTAAATGACAAGCATAAATTTGTGTGCCTTCATTCATAACATCCGTAAGCTAAAAGATTTCCTTGTATATATAGAACATACAGTACTGCATCTGTGTTTACCTGTTTCTGTGACATTTGTATCTTTGTTAAAAATCAGCTGATAGAGGACCAAAATCACGCAAACGCCAGCATGAAAATCTGAGAACTTCACCAAAAGTGGCGCCAAGGCGGAATAGGAGTGCCTCCTACTCAGGAGGGTGCAGGATGCGGAAACTGCCGATGAAGAGAGGGAACTCTGGGTAAAATTTTAACGGAGTTTGGCTGGGCTGGGTTGCCTGTGATTTGAACAGCGATAATCCTCGCAGGCTCATCCGGCACCGCGCTCAATCTGAAATAAACATGGCCGCGAAACCGACGAAGGAAGGTGAGTCATCAATAAGTGTGTTTATTACTTCTGTTTGATACTGTTTGTAATTAATTTTGTTTCACCTATCGTCCCTCCGTCTCGTGCTGTTTTCACGGTCAAAAACCAACAGCTCTAGTACAGTATGATCCGTCATGCAAACACATTCTCGCGACTTAAATCACTGAAGCATTAATCTTAAAATTGATTCCAAACAGCTCATTATTATTGATTCAATAACCTTACTTTTGTCAGAAAAAAGTGTTTAAAACATTTAGTTTTGATTTTTTTGTCAAGACGAGGCGCAAAATCTTCGTCAGACTTTTCAATTTTAGAAAGTGCTAAAATTTTA